TATAGGTTAAAACTAATTGCAACGTAAGTTGCAACATTAAAAGTTGCAATATATTAATTACAGTTCCCATCTTTATGTATACCAATATTTTTTTTTCTATTATTTATTTTATTTTCTTCTTTCTCTTCTTTATTTTCATTATCTAATAATTTATTATTAATATTATCATATTTTTCTAATCTTTTATATAAGATTTAACATTAAAGATCTTTTTTATAGAATTTTAAATAATAATTTTATTGATTATTTCATTCTGCAAACATTTATAATGAAAAGCATTTCAATATATCAATATTATAACTTCTTCTTTATCAAAATATTTAAATTTATTACAATAATTTTATTATATTAATTTTTGTAACTTTGTTTTTATTTAATTGAGTAATGTTTGTATCATTTCTATTAATTTTTAATTTTATTTGGATTAGTGTTTCAAGCAAGACCATTTTCTTGAATCTGAAACTTTTTGTCTAGTGAATTTTCAGTTTAGGCTCATATGTCTAAAACTATCTGAAACCTTAATTTAGAAATATTTTGTAAATCAAATTGAGCGAAGCTAGTTTTTCCTGAAATATTAGTTTAGATTATTATTAATATTAATTTTACTAATAATATACTTATATTTTAATTAATTTTAAAATGCCTATTTTTTTAGGTAAAATTATATGACAATCAATTTTACACCAATAAAAATTAAGTATTATGTGATATTTCAAAAAAATTTCTATCAATCAAATCATCAAAAAGTTAAATGTTTATTATATTTTTAATAATATAAATTTGATTTATATTTGATGTATTTTTTTTATAAAAAGATGCAAAATATATCTTAATATAATATTTATAATACAATTTGATTGTCATTCTAAATGCTAGATAAAAAAAGAACTTACTATTTAATAATTTGAATGAAGATACTAAGATCCTACAATTTATTTGATATTTAAATATTTGATTTAATTTAATTAAATTCAAATCAAGAATAATTTATCTAATCATATTTAAATTAATTTGATTTAATTTGATTTAAATCAATTAATAAAAATATCTTTAAAGCTGCAAAAGTTTTTTATTATAATTTTTATAGTAAAAAATATTTCTGTAACTTTACAGACATTTTTACTATAAAAAATATAATAAAAAACATTTCTGCAGCTTTAGAAATATTTTTATTAAAAAATTATGTAATGTTTTAAGCTTCTAAAATATTATTTTTACTAAAAACACTATAGTAAAAAATGATTTTGCAGTTTTGAAGACAATTTTTTATTAAGAAAGACTAGTAAAAAAATATATCTGCAACTTTAAAAATAATTTTTATTTAGAAAAATTAGTAAAAAATACTATTGCAATTTTGAAGATATTCTTTACTAAGAAAACTTTAGTAAAAATGATTTTGCAGCTTCAGAAATATTTTTTACTAAGAAATAATTTGTAAAAATGCAGCCGATATTTAATACAAACTGGACCTCATTACAATTAATTATATAATATAAAAAAATGAATAAAAAAATGAAGTTTAAAAACTGGAGTCTCCAGCCGATATTCCTTTATACCTTTAAAATGTTTTTATTAAGAAATACCTTGTAAAATACCTTTATAGCTTTGTAAGCATTTTTACTTATAAAAATGGTTCTAAAGCTATAGAAGCAGTTATTACTAAGTTTTCTTAATAAAACTGAAGCTGCAGAATTGTTTTACTAAGTTTTTTTTTTTAGTAAAACTGAAGCTGCATAATTGCTTTACTAAATTTTTCTTAGTATAAATTTGCAGAAACATTTGTTACTAAACTTACTTTGTAGAAGTTATCCTTGAAATTTTTTTAGTGTATAATATTAATGATTTTCTTAATTAAAACTTTAGAAATAACTTTATTTTAATATTTAAAAATTCAAGGCATAATAATTCAGCTCCAAAATCACATAAATCCAATTACCAAATGTGTAAATATAAGCCAATTCATTAGCAATAAAAAGAATGCAAATACACAAAGTGTAAGGCACATGGTATTTTTTCAACAAGTGGCTTATAACTTGAGAGTAAAAGTATGTAGAAGCGGTTTACAATAAGGCAATAAAATGGATGCAGAGGCAGGTTACCACATGGATATCTTCTTAAAAATAAATGATTTAGAAGCAGAACAAAATGCAGATAGCACTAAATAAATATGAAAGGTACAGGTAAGCAAGATCGTGAAGTGGCAGCGTTAATTAGATCATAAAAGAATATACAGGATATCTGATAAATATCGAGAAGAGTCTAGGGGGAATTATGAAAATAAGTTATACTGTATCATAAATTAATCAGATTATATAAAATTTAAAGTATTTTTTCTGTTGTATCAATACGGTCGAATAATTCTTCACGAGCTTGTAAATACTGTAATTGAATCATCATCAATAAACAGCATGTATTTCTATAAAAAAAGGGTAAGTATAATAACGTAAAGAAAATAAAAAAAAAGTCTTCTAAACATATTCTGACATTAATTTAAATGGATATCAGACTGATCAAATCAAATAGTTATTAGTTAACAAAAACTAATTTTTAGGAGTTTTAAAAAGGTATTTTGAAATTTGGCTAACGTTAATTCGGCCTAGTACATTGAATAGATAGATCATGTATAAAGATGTCCTGATTATTTCATAATTTTATAATTTTTCTTTTTCTGCAAGCTTTCTCTACCTTTTTTTTTTTTTTTATTTTCTTTAATAATAATAAAATGTCTGCAGCAGAAATTCCCGAAAATGCTCCGGAGCATTGCCCAGTATGTATGAAATACCTTTTATTTTTTCCCAAAGCATCGAAATTTCTTATTCATGTTATTTTCATGTTATTTTATAATAGGGACCTAGCAATGAACAAGCGGGAACAGCTTCGGCATGTCAAGGTTGTCCAAACCAAAATGTATGTGCCACTGCTCCAAAGGGACCGGATCCTGGTAAATTTTTTGTTATTTTGTTTTTTTTTAAAAAGTATAAAAGTGATTTATTAGTTTAACCAACCAACCAAATTATTTTAGCTTTGCCATTCATCAAAGAGAGAATGAATTCGGTTAAGCATAAAATCCTTATATTATCAGGTAAAGGAGGAGTAGGTAAAAGTACATTTACTTCACAACTTGGATTTGCTCTTGCCAATGATGAGAATATTCAGGTAATTGATAATTTTATATTCAGTAATTGTCAACATAAATAATTACTTTATTTTTTATTAAGGTTGGAATTATGGATATTGATGTGTGTGGGCCTTCAATACCAAAGATTATGGGGCTAGAAGGAGAACAAATTCATCAAAGTTTATCAGGATGGTCAGCAGTTTACGTACAAGATAATTTAGGAGTAATGTCAATCGGGTTTATGTTATCAAATCCCGATGATGCGATTATTTGGCGTGGTCCGAAGAAAAATGGTAGAAAGAAATTTAAAATCGTTACTTGTGATACAAAACATATTAATCTTATTTATTTATATCATCAATAGGATTGATTAAACAATTTTTAAAAGACGTTGATTGGGGAGATTTAGATTTTATGTTGGTAGATACACCACCTGGTACATCAGATGAACATTTATCAATTATTCAATATCTTAAAGAAAGTGGAATTGACGGAGCTGTTATTATTACAACGCCACAGGAAGTAGCTTTACAAGATGTTAGAAAAGAAATTGATTTTTGTAGAAAAGTAAAAATTCCTATTATTGGAGTTGTTGAAAATATGAGCGGATTTGTTTGTCCTAAGTGCAAGGTAATGATATAATGCCAGCTGATACTTGTTTTGATTTTGAGAAACATTTTATTTAATGGAGGTCTTTTTTAATCGTATTTAGGGGGAATCAGTGATATTCTCTCCAACAACTGGAGGGGCAAAAAAAATGGCGGAGGACGTAAAAATCCCCTTCTTGGGATCCATTCCTTTGGATCCTAGAATAGGTATGAATAAATCTATTTATTTTATAATTTTTAAATAGCTTTTTAATCTATTTTATATATATACATATATTTTTAGGTAAGGCTTGTGATACTGGCGTATCATTTTTAGATGAATATTCTGATTCCCCAGCAAGTAAAGCATATTTAGATATTATTACAGGTAGGAAACTCTTTCAGTATAATTGAAAAAGGCAATTAAGTTATTTGCATTATAATCCTAACTTTTTTATTTTTTAATAGAAATTAAGACTTCGTTGACAAGGCAAGACGATTTTTAAAATAATTAAATACTTTATTCAGTATTTTTATCTCTATTTATTTGTATTTTTAATAAATTCCAACTAAATTCAGTTTATTAAAATTATATTAAAGAGCATTTGGATGATGACCATATAATAATATTATTCAGCATCACATTAAACCAGCCTAAAAAAAAATTACTGAGTATGAATCGAAATCGAGAAATTCTTTTATAAAGGAGCATATGAATTAAAAAGAAAAAAAAATACGTCAAATAATAATAATTAAATTTAACGCGTTTTAATAAAGTCTATATTACAAATTATATTAAACGATAAAATTACGCGACAAAATTATGATCCAAAATTTACAAATCACCAAACTTCAACACGTAATTTTTCTATGCCTTTTCTATCACTCTTAGATTTCTTGTTTAAAGCCATAGTTTTCTTTAATAATTTGTATTTCTTGAATTCGGGATCTCTATTAGTATCACCTTTAATTAAATCTTGATTACTTTCTAATTCAGCATTGGAAATCAAAGAAGACAATAATTTTTGGGAATGAATTCTATGAAGTTTAGTATTATTACGACGAGTTTCATTACGATTTGATATTTCAGCGGATCCTATTGTATCATCATAGTCTACGTCATGATCGCCTTTTAGTATGGAATCCGCAACATCGGTATTATCAACTTTTGGAGGGTTGGAAGGTTTCTTTTTTTCTTGTGAAATATTAGGTTTATTATTATTTTTAGAAGGTTCTTCGTTGTTAGAAGATTTACGGCCCCATTTAGCAGCAGCAGCATACGTAGGATGTTTATGTGCTTGTATAAGTTGATATTCTTCATCATCCCCGCCTTCACTTATAGAGTGAACGGCGTGAACCGTAATACGTTGAGCCAGGTCAACGTCTTCTTCAATATCCCATTCACTGATTTCTTCCCAATGTTCGTTGGACATGATTATATTTGGTATTTTAAAGTAGATATTTAGATTTTTTTTTTTTACTTTTTTTTAAAAAAAGAAAAAAGGAGGAAAGATGAAAAGATGAAATTTATTTATAGGTAAAAGCGTAGTGCTTTCTTTTTTTTATTAAAAGGAGGGGGACAAGCAAAATTGGATGCGTTTATATATTTTTAATTTTAATTGCATTGTTATTTTTTAGTTTATGACAATATAATTCAATTGAAACGCGCAGTTCTTATCTTGGTCAATCGTTTATTTTATATATATATTTATATACAGTATAATTTAAAAATCGACCGTGCATGTGAGCAATCCATTTCTGCGGTAATTTGGCAAAATCTTATTTGCAATTGACGCACATAATATCTTGATAGTCCGCATTTTGGTTTATAAACCATTTTTGGAAATGTCATTTACTCTTTCCTAAAACTTCTATGGAGTGAACACATCCGGAATTTCTAATTGGATTATTACTGCGTCATCCTTTTTCGTTCAAGAATCTTTTTTTTTTCTAAATAAAGGAACTTTTTTTCCAACGCGTAGCTCGCTTATTGAGCTGCATGCTACCGTTCATTATAAAAAAAAAGGAAGAGTCATAAAGCATTTGCATTTGGCGTAGTAACATTAGTCATTTTTAGTAATTTAACAAATGATAAACAAACGATAAGATTTAAATTAAATCTCTTGACGAAATGTTCATAATATTGACAAAATAACACAAATTACTTAAAAACCATCTCAAATCGTAATCAAAAAAGATTCAAATCTGTAAACGTTCTAAATTATCCAATAGGAAAATTCCGCACGAGGCGTAGCAAAACGAATTATTTATTGAGAGTGTAACGTGCGCATGTATCGTGAGAAAAGAATGTGAAACTGATGAAAGGTAGATCAATATAAATTGTACATTTTACTATAAATAACCCAATAACCCTTTTTTCTTAATCTCGTGTTCCCAAAGGAATGACATAATTTAGCTAATAGAATAAAGATAACGACATTTTTAATTTTATTTCGCATAAAACGTTTAAGGAATCGCGAAAACGGTAGGTTTAGCATGTCATATTATCCATTATCGTACCGCATGAAATTAGTCACAAGGTCTCTCAACCGTTTAACCTTAAATGGATCTTCGGTAATACTGACGAGATGAGTCATTGATAATTCACGTAAAATCCCGTTATGATTTCTTTGTTCCGACTAAATAAACGAAAGAAATGTATTATTTATGTTGTTTATTTTAATGGATCTGCTATTACTTGCCAGGGGTAATAAATAAATTCAAGATAAGAAGAGTCGGATGCCTCATTTAGAAACGCACCTTTAAATTTCACCAGAATTACGAGAGTTCACCAAAATATATGGGTTTTACTTATCCGGCTTTTTTTTTTCCTTTTTTTTTTGTTTTTTCCCTCATATTAATGCTCGAATCCGTTCACAATCTGCTTAATCTGCCAAATCTTTGGAAATCGTACCTCTACAAAAATTTATTTTCAAGTCGATTACCTTTTGTGTAAACATTTTAAAAAGAAATTCCCGAGACAATAAACATATTTTTCAGTGTCATTTTGTTTTTTGTATATATGGTATATGATTGTATAGAGAATAAATAATCATTTCGCACGCACGGATGTTATTTTTCCTAAACAAAAAGTTATGAACCATTAAAAAATATGAGATATTATGACATGTAACTCTTTTCTAAAAAGGATTCATCGTTCATAATAGAATATCAAAGGATTGTGTCATCATCATTGATCAAATGATTTATTGATATTTTTAATTACGACAAACAATAATAACGCATTTTTAATTATAATGACAATTCTAAAGTCTTATGACGTACATAAATAAAATTCGGAGAAACCTTTACCTCTAAAATTAAAAAATACAAGGAGAGTTTAGTAATGTGATGAGATGTGAGGGGAAAAATAAAATTTGCATTTTTTTTTGTATAAACTGGTCAGGGTTAAAAAGCTCATTTATATTATATTCATTCGATGAAAAGTTTTACACCGTCATGTGAAGAAATTCAAAAAAGTAAAATCATCATTCCAGTTCTATCAGCGACTATTTTGAAGGTTTATTTTTTTACATACCTTTCTGTCACGTGAAATTAAATATCTGATAACGTTATATACACAATCTTACTCAACAATGAAATTTTATAATCATGAAAGGAATAAACAAAGAAAGAAATTTGTATACAAAAAATTTTTCATCAAAGAAAAAGAAAAAAAAAATTTTTTTTTTTTTTTTTTTTTTTAAGCCTATTTTTATAACACCCTAAAAAGTGACGTCGTAAAAAAAAACTGATGAGTGGCTTAGAATTGATCAAAAAATTTCAGAGGAATATGATCAAAATTTTTCATATAAAAAAAAAATTTCCCTTTCCCTTTCCTTTTTTCTGTTTTCTTTTTTTTTTTTTTTTTTTTTTTTTTTTTAATAATGAAATTTTACATTGATCTTGTTTGATTAACAAATTTCTAATATGACATTGTTTGGAAAATTCTGTAATCAAGTTAGACCATTTTTATTTGTACGTGAAGTTTGCTATAACGATGGGTTACGTAAACATATTCTTTATTCAATAAATACAAAGGTTCAAATGTCATTTCTAAAGAGAACTATGTATACAAGAAACGAAATTGATGATTTTACGGATCATGAAAGATTTATAAAAGAAACAGTAGATTCAGGGGAATCGGAAAAGTTTTCAACCATTAATGAAGTCATTGATGATACAATAGATACATTCGATATAATACCGGACAAGGATGAAATGATTAATAATCCTCCAATCGTAAGGCGCAACATACATTGGTCTAGATTGGAAGTAAAGGTTTTGGAAAGTCTCATCGAAAAGTATGGAAAAGATTGGGAAACGATCTCTCAACATATGTTCGAGAAAACACCACAAGAGTGTAAAGCTCAATATGAGGACATGATGAAGGGTCGACCGGACTTTAGACGAACTCTTAAAGGTTTACCTGATTTCACAGAAAGTGAAATCGCTCAAATAAATAATTTAATTGAAGAGAATGGTCGTAGTTGGCGTAAGATTGCAAAACATTTTTATGGTAAATCCGCACTCGCTGTTGAAAGTTTTGTAAAGAATAATCCGAATAGATTTCCATCCCTTTACAAACGTTCCATAATCATGAAACAATTTAAGGGATCAGCTTGGACAGATGAGGAATTAAAATCCCTGAATGAACTTATTATGAAATATGGAAGAGATTTTGATGCAATTTCAGAAGAATTGCCTGGTAGAAGTCCCAAAGCCGTAGAGAGAAGCATCTCAAAACATATGTTGGACCTTCCTGCTCTTCATTCTGGAAAAGTTGTTGATTGGTTTAGATCTTCAACCGTTTGGAGTGAATCAGAAACGCGTTTATTAAATGAATTGGTTGAAGCTTATGGTTTCAATTGGGAAAAGATTTCAGAATACCTACCAGGTCGTTCACCCATTTCTTGCAGCGCTAAATTTTATGGCAGCTGGTCAACTTGGAATACCAAAGTGACAGCCCTGGTGCCTCACAAATGGCCTAAAGAAGTATTACAATTCTTAGACTTGTTGATAGAAAGATACGGAAGGTGGCAAATCATACCACTTCTTATACCAGGAATAACACCCGCAAACTGGTTTTCACCTTTTTACCCTCAATCTAGAGTTTGGACGACGAGTGAAAAAGTGATTTTACAATATTTGGTAAGAACTCTTGGATATAATTGGGAAAAAATTTCAGAATATTTTCCTCACAGGCAACGTTGGTCAATTATTCGTGAAGTACTCGGTAATATAGAGTATTATGAATCCGTAAATGCAAATGAGAATGATTTAATATCAAAACTTGCTGTGCCAAAAAAGCAAAGACGTCGTACTTCACTTTGGCCATATGATGAAGTAAAGAAATTATATGAACTCAAGGAAAGATATTCTTCTAATTGGTATAAAATATCGGGAGAACTTCCTGGTAGAACTCCCGCTGCATGTTATCTAAAGGATTTCGTACTTACAAATGCGTGTAAGGAATTAGATGATAAGTTAAGCGCTCTCGAGATTTGTCATTTACAAGAACTCCTCAGAAATCATGGCGACGATTGGGAAATCATCGCGAAATATATAAAAAATAAAGATATAAATGAAATTAAGAATATCATAAATGAATATCCTAAAATTTTCCCACCTGTGTTATTTGGATCACAAACCGGAATTACAGGTCATTGGACGGAAAAGGAACAGGAATTATTTAAAAATCTCATCGCATCACATGGAAATAATTGGAAGTTCATCAAAAATTTCTTCCCAAGAAAATCATACAAACAACTTTATGAATATTATCACGCGAATCGAGAAACTTTTCCCGATGCGTATTCTATGAATACAAATTATTGGGTGTTTAATCGATCCTCATGGAAGAAGGAAGAAAATGATTCATTAAAAGAATTAATAGTTAAACATCATGATGATTTTGATTTAATTTCACGCAATCTTCCTGGTAGGACAAGTGCCGCTATTAAAGCTCATATCCGTAATCATCCTGAGCTCTTCTCCTCAAAACAATCGAAAGAAATTTATAAAAAAGGTCAAAAAGATCAGAAAGGGACAAATACATATTGGACAACAGATGATGAAAATAAATTACTAGAATTGGTAAATTCTCATCCAGTTGATTGGAGTAGAGTTGCTGCTGAATTTCCTTCTAGAACATTAAGTGCCTGCAAAACCAAATATCGTTCTTTATTAAAACCAGAAATGACGATATCGAGATTTATAGATACTTACAAGGTCTCATAGAATTTCAATTTGTCAATTTGTTATTATGGGATGATGAAATTGTAATAAATGAAAAAACAAATAATTTTAGAAAAATATGGATCAATAAAAAATGTTATATGCGTTACATACGTTACACACCAATATCAATGCAAAGTAGATCAATCGGGATCTAAGAACCGGTTTTGAAGTTTTTAACAACAAAAATGAAACACACAAGCTTATTTAATTAAAATCGACTCCTTCAACCAATTCCCTAAAAAGAATCGTACGATTTCCATGTTTGTTCAACCACAAGAAAAATTTTCAAATAAAATTTCCGAAATAACAACCAACTTTAATGCGATGCCGGCGTCAGAAAACGCAACGACTCCTACAATGCCATTTTCTTTTGTTCCTTCTACAAATTTAGAAGGGGATGTAGCTTCTGTTAATTCTTTTAGGACGACGGATACAAACTATACCGGAGATCAAGAAAGCGTAGCTTCTGACTTTGCATTAAGAGAACATGATCTGCAGGGAATAATAAAAATCCTTTGTGAGCTTGATGTATGAAAAATATTTTTTATTAATACTTTTTTTATTTTTATTAGACTAATTTTTTTTTAAAAAAAAAAATTAGGGTGGTTTGAATATAGCATTGGAAAGAGTAAAACAAGATGTAGTTTCAGCAAAAGCATGTATAATTTATTTATTTTTTATTAATTACTTTTTTATTTTACAATAATTTTATTTAATTTACATTACTTTCGATTTCATTAGGAACTGTCCACTTTTTTGAGGAAAAGAGCCGCAATAGAAGAAGAGTACGGTAAAATGATGATGAAATTAGCAAAGAATTTACAAGAAAGTCATCATACTAATGATACGAAACAAGGGTTAATTTCTCAAGTTTTTTTTTTTGAAATATTTTTTTTTACATTATAATATTATAGTTTGTTGATTAAATATTTATTTATAATCAGATCATATGGTGACAGTTGGTTAAGCATATTAAAAATACACGAATATATAGGAGAAAATAGGATTAAACTTGCATCCGCGATTCAAGAAATATCAGAAGACGTATCTTTCCTTTATAAGGACATAGATAAAGCCAGAAAAAATGTATGAAAATATTCCTTAAGATTATTACTAAAAAATATATATTAATACTAATAATAACAATAATATTGCAAAATTAAAATAGCTCAAAGATTCCGGTCAAAAATACGAAAAAGCAATTCAAGATTCAGAAACATCCTTAGAAAAGGTGGCTGTTAAATTTGTTTTTTAAAATGTTTTCCTATTATACATCTCTTATCTTTATTATATTTATAGGCAAAAGGAAAATACGATTCATATAGTGAGGATTGGGAACGCTCTATTTTACAAAAGCATGGAGATTCTCCCATTACTTCAAAACCAAAAACTTTGCCAAAATCAATATTTTCTAAACAACCAAAGACCCCATCACAGGTTCAATTATAATTTATTGAAATATAAATTAGATTAGATTTCATCATGATTTTACTAAATGCGTTCTAATTCTAAGTGTTCATAAAAAATTTTCTTTAGTTAATTAAAATGGAAGAAGATGCTAGAAATAAAGCCGAAGCTGCTAATGCAACATATAAACAACAACTATTAGCTGCAAATACAGCACGCCATGATTATTACGATGTACAACTGCCCAGCATAATTACGGTATATATACATTTATTTATTTGTAATTTGTAATTTGTAATTATTTAAAAGAAATCTTTTTTTTTGTTTAAAACAAATGAAGACCCTTAAAGAAACTGCCGATGAATGTGACGTAGGTCTTCAATATCATTTGGCGCGATATTCTTACTTATTTGAAAATACTATTGTTTGCGACGGGTTGGTTATACAACCAATCAATGAAGAAGATGGTAATTACGCAAACAAACAAAATGAATTTTAATCACGAAATTTAGCTTTTTTTTTCCTCTGCTTATCACGTATTTTTTTAAATCCTTACCATATGAATATCCTCACTTTATAAAATGATCATTTTATTTTCTCTATTTTAAGGTCCTGCTTTACGTAAAACCGTAGAAAAAATCAGTAACGAAGAAGATTTTTACAATTTTGTGAAGTCTCATGACGTAATGACAAGAAAGACAAAAAAATTTGATATTCCATATGATCAATATAATTTGGTTAGAAAACATTAACTCGTGCTAAATATTATGTATAAGCGATTTTCATTTTGCTATTCTTAATCTAAATTTTCTTTTAGTCTACACAAGCTGTCAACATTATAAACCCAAAGAATATTTTTGGCGTGGATTTGGCTGAGCAAATGCAAAGAGATGGTCATGATGTACCATTAATACTGGTTAAATGTTGCGAAGCAATTGAACAATATGGTGAGGTTATTAGCGATTCATCTTATCTTTAAATTTAATATTCTTAAGTTTATTAATTTATATCTGGTAAATAATTTATTAGGAGGATTACAAAGCAAAGGTCTTTATCGTATCTCAGGAGTAACGTCTCATGTTCAAAGATTGCGGATGCTGTTTGATAGGAGTAAGGTTTAATACTAAACTATTAACATACACGTTGAATATGTAATTCATAAATTTAACATATTTTTAACAGATGCGGACGCGTTTGATTTTAATGCGGAAGAAAATCTTGACGTGAATAATATTACTAGCGTTTTGAAATTATGGTTTCGTGAACTACCCGATCCACTCTTTACAATGGATATGTATCAAGATTTTATTAATGCCGCAAGTGAGTTTATAATATCTTAATCAAATTATTATTTACATCCGAGAATTCAAAGAATTTTATATTAATTTTGCATCGCCGTTAAGAAAATCCCGATGACAGAAGACGTGTTCTTGAGCTCCATGACCGTGTAAACCATCTTCCGGATGCAAATTATAGTACACTAAAATATTTGATGGGCCACTTAAACCAGTAAGATAATCTTTTATGAATCAGAAAAATATTTTATCATTTATTTATTTTTAAAAAAGAGTAATAGTTCTAATAATAGTTGAAATATTTTTTTATAGGGTGGTAAAAAATCAAGAATATAACAAAATGAATGTACAGAATCTTGGTATAGTTTTTGGTCCTACGTTATTGGGAAGTCCAGTTATAGGGGGTGCAAATTCTACATCAGGTGTTTCGGGTTCAGTATTATTACAAAATGATGGTGCAGGGCTCAATGATATGAGTTGGCAATGTAAAGTTATAGAAACGATTTTAATGAATTTTCGATCTATTTTTGTTATGGAATAAAGTGTTGAAAATTTGATCCTGGTGATAAATATAATAGATAGATAGATCCTTAAAAGAAAGGGGGATATTTTTTTTATTAAAAACAAAAATTATAATAATATGAATGCTTGCCATATTTCATGGTGTAAGCATATTAAAAAAAAAAATTAAAATAAATAAAAATAAAAATAATAATAAAAAAATAATTAATATTCAAATACATACATAATAAGGGTTAATTTATCGTCACCTTTTCATATTTAAATTTTTTTTTTTTTTTCAAAATATACATACATACAATATTTTAATAATACAATTTACTACAGATTTTTATTTTTTTTCTTTTATCGATTTAATATAAAATTCTCCATTTTTCAAAATCATAAAATTTTTCGTTCCAATTGAATGAAATTGATGATAAATTTTTAAAGAGGATTCAGATAATAAGTATTTATTTAATAATAGTGAACTTTTGGTTAACTGACAATGAGTTTTATGTTTTTTTTAAAGCCCACCATATACATCATCATGCGTCACTAAATTAAAATAAACGCGAAAATCAAATTTTTTTTTTTCAAAATCCATTGTAAGGAAAATTTGATTATTAGGATTATGTTGAAACTGACCAACGCACCGTGTCAGTATATTAACATATCCGTGCCTATTCGATAATGTTTTCTCGATTATGTCAAAAATTGACGTTTTCGGATGACTTCTCATACTTTAAATTAAAAAAAAAAAAAAACGGGCACTAGTTTAAGATATACGTTGAATTACCTAAAACCACCTATAACTTTTAACCAAAACAAAAACGTTAAGATGGACCATGTAGCCTGACAACCAGTTAAGACGTACTCGTCCGGTCTATTCAAGGGAAGACATACTCCAAAAACGTATTCAACTAGCTATACGGGGGTTTGTCAATACATCACGTAATCGTCGCGGGACCGGAGAAAACTAAGAATTTATGGTTCAACGTTCTAAGTGATAATTAAAAAAAAGAAAAAAAGAGAAGGTGGGGTGGATCAGACCAGATTCGATCGAAAGAGAGTCTGACATCCAAACAAATGCCATTCAAACAGTATTATTCTGCTAAAGCTTACTCTCGAGCTTCAGAGAAATTGGGCACATAGGAATACACAGTCTCAAGAGGATAATCCCACCAAGAGACATCACCAAGACTTAGGACATGATAATGTTTCTACTGTGAACCCCTAGACCCCACAAAGTTATTAACAGACAAGTGACCATACAAATAACACCTACCTAAAATAATAGCCCGAGACTTCAAGATACTTGTCATCAATAAATACCGATAATGAACGAGTTCAACGTGTTCTAAGTGATAATTAAATATTAAAAGAAAGAGAGGAAGAAAGAGAAGGTGGGATGGGTCAGACCAGATTCGATCGAAAGAGAGTCTGACATCCAAACAAATGCCATTCAAACAGTATTATTCTGCTAAAGCTTA